CTCCTGCTTGCAAACCGGTCTTAAACTGGGAACTCCACCAAACATTGTCCACCATGGGTAACTGTTACAGCATTTGACACCCCAGTGGCACAGGGTTCACCATCACAGCAACCCACGTTACCTTAGTGCTCCTCAATAATTTGGAGTGGTCCCTGACTGCAGACTTTTCCTGTGCAATATGTCTTGGATCAAAGTAAGATGAAGTTGTTGATGGACTGGACTTTTCTCCACTTATCCATCGATGAGATATTTTGTTCTCTTTTGAACCCACCTGCTCTTAGACATCAACCAGGCCTTGCTTGGCTTAGACCAAGTAAGGTTTACCAATGGAAGGAAGCCATTTTTTTACTCCATCTGCCCTTTGACATCAGCCAGGCTTTGCTTGTGACTTCTGGGCTTAGAGCATTGAAGCACAGAAAGGCAATTTATAAAACTGGTGTCGTGGAGCTTCTAATGTGTGATGCCTCTAGCTTGTTTGAGAACAGAGACCAGTTTGCCATTCCCCATTTCCAGAAGGTAGCTATTCCTCAAATATTTCTTCAGTAATTCTACCACTGCTTCCAGGTATGGTGGACTCTGCTGCTCCAAGTTAACCTCTTTTTTCACACATCCAGGTTCTCCTTGCTTCTTCCCCCTCCCCTCCTCATCCACATCCCCATAGCAAACTCAAGATGGAGGTCAGCTTATTTAAGAAAATCATTGGCAGGGACAAGGATGAAGACCCTTTATCATCAAAGCTAGCTGATTTCTCTTAGATCAACAAAGTGGCTAAAAGGATAAATAAGCGGCAAGTTGGTCTTTGCTTAACATTCTCACTGCTTCAAGGGGCCGCTTTTGAAGACTCTCCCAAGTCACTTGGAGTAATAATTTTGTTTCATTCCATAAGTAGCTTTGTTTAAGAATAAGACATTTTGCACTTTTTTTCGCAACGGGTTTGTCGCCAGAGTACAGCTTAGGTGTTGGTGAATACCATCGCAAAACCTAAGCCAAAATGGGAAAGGAGAAGACCCATATCAACATCGTCGTCATTGGACACGTAGATTCGGGCAAGTCCACCACGACTGGCCATCTGATCTACAAATGTGGTGGGATCGACAAGAGAACCATTGAGAAATTCGAGAAGGAAGCTGCGGAGATGGGAAAGGGCTCCTTCAAATATGCCTGGGTCTTGGATAAACTGAAAGCTGAACGTGAGTGTGGCATCACCATTGATATCTCCCTGTGGAAATTTGAGAGTAGCAAGTACTATGTGACCATCATTGATGCCCCAGGACACAGAGACTTTATAAAAAACATGATTACAGGAACATCACAGGCTGATTGTGCTGTCCTGATTGTTGCTGCTGGTGTTGGTGAATTTGAGGCTGGTATTTCAAAGAATGGGCAGACCCGTGAGCATGCCCTTCTGGCTTACACACTGGGTGTGAAGCAACTGAGGGTGTGAAGCAACTGATTGTTGGTGTTAACAAAATGGATTCCACTGAGCCACCCTACAGCCAGAAGAGATAAGAGGAAATCGTTAAGGAAGTTAGCACCTACATCAAGAAAATGGCTACAACCCTGACACAGTAGCCTTTGTGCCAATTTCTGGCTGGAATGGTGACAACATGCTGGAGCCAAGTGCTAATATGTCTTGGTTCAAGGGATGGAAACCCACCTGGAAAGATGGCAGTGCCAGTGGGACTACACTGCTTGAAGCTTTGGATTGCATCCTGCCACCAACTCTTCCAACTGATAAGCCCCTGCGTCTGCCTCTCCAAGATGTCTACAAGATTGGTGGTATTGGTACTGTCCCTGTGGGCAGAGTGGAGACTGGTGTTCTCAAGCCTGGCATGGTGGTCACATTTGCCCCAGTCAACGTTACCACTGAAGTAAAGTCTGTTGAAATGCACCATGAAGCTTTGAGTGAAGCTCTTCCTGGTGACAATGTTGGCTTCAATGTTAAGAACGTCTCTGTGAAAGATGTTCGACGTGGCATCGTGGCTGGTGACAGCAAAAATGACCCACCCATGGAAGCAGCTGGCTTCACTGCTCAGGTGATCATCTTAAACCACCCTGGCCAAATCAGTGCTGGTTATGCACCTGTGCTGGATTGTCACACAGCTCACATTGCTTGCAAGTTTGCTGAGCTCAAAGAGAAGATTGATCACCGTTCTGGTAAGAAGCTGGAAGATGGCCCCAAATTCCTGAAGTCTGGTGATGCTGCCATTGTGGATATGGTTCCTGGCAAGCCCATGTGTGTGGAGAGCTTCTCTGACTACCCTCCTCTGGGTCGTTTTGCTGTCCGAGACATGAGGCAGACTGTTGCTGTGGGTGTCATCAAAGCAGTGGACAAGAAGGCTGCTGGAGCTGGCAAGGTCACCAAGTCTGCTCAGAAAGCTCAGAAGGCTAACTATTACCCATAACACCTGCCACCCCAGTCTTAATCGGTGGAAGAACCGTCTCAGAACTGTTTGTCTTAATTGGCCATTTAAGTTTAATAGTAAAAGACTGGTTAATGATAACAATGCATCGTAAAACCTTCAGAAGGAAAGGAATGTTTTGTGGACCATTTGTTTTCGTGTGGCAGTTTTAAGTTATTAGTTTTTAAAATCAGTACTTTTTAAATGGAAACAACTTGACCAAAAATTTGTCACAGGATTTTGAGACCCATTAAAACAAGTTTAATGAAAAAAAAAAAAAGACATTTTGCTACATTTAAAGCTGAGGACTCATTTTCTAACTTGAATCCCACATGGAAAGATGGACTGCATCATCCCAAACAAATGGAAATAAACAATCCACTAGCTTCTTTAAGCCTTTTATCACAAAGTATTTATTGAACAAAAATAACAGTAAAAATGATACATATATGAAGGTGAGTTAAGATTTGCAGTCATAGAAAAAGATGTGTACAAGGAGATCAACATTCAGATAACTTTAGCCATAGAGTTTAACACTGACCATGTAGACATATAAAAAAAAATATTCTTTGGAACATATTTTCTGACTAGAAGACATATTTTTAAAAATCCAAACCAAATGGGACTGAGCTATCTGGGTTATAATTTAATACCTCTAGTGTTCTGTGTTGTAGTATGGTTTTATTCGATCAAAAATTATACAGTTTTTCTCCCATATTTAAAAGTTTTATAACTCTATCTAGAGTGTACATTTAATCACAGCTTTTGAAGAGGAAACAAAATAAGATCTATAGTCATTTGAATATTTCCATTCAGCATCTGCATGCAAAGGTTTTACTGAAAGTATTTTTGGATGAGACTTTTTACACATTTAACTTTCTAGCTTCTGTTAGAAGAATCTTTTCTTTTGGGTGTGTTCTTTTTTTATACTCTCGGATGCTGCATCTCACTCTGGTTCTACTTAACATCTAGTTCTAGGCCTATTTTTATCTCTAGCTAGGCATCAGAAACAAAACTGGACTTAGCACCAACTTTTGTTGGCTCTTCAATTAGCTGTGTGATCTCCTTCTCCTGTGTACCTGTGCCCACCTTTCAGCAGGGGCCAGGAGTTATTCTTGAAGGCCCCTTCAAGCTCTAACACTTTCTACTTGGAGAATATCATCCGTTTCCTGACCAGCTCCTTTTATTTAAGTACAGAAACACCCTGAGCATCTTTTATAGGGTGTGGTGATAGTCGGGTCTGTGAATGTTAGAACTAGTCCCATTGCTTTACTGCGTATTAAAGACTGTTTGGATTTTATGCTCCCCTTAATAAAGGCCACGTAACCCTCCCTTTACACACACAGTGTCATTTCCAATTAAAAATAGCAAACTTTGCATAGATCATAACATTTTAGTTTAAAAATATTCATTACTTGGGCATATTTCAGATTGTTTTCCTCAGCTCTGTCATTAAGGATTACATTAAACCTAACCTTGAATTTAAGAATCCTTAGACAATTAACTATAGGAAACTCTGGTGGGCTACTGGGTAAGAAGTTGTGCTACCAACTCAAAGGCAGCAAGTTCGAATCTATTATCTGCTCCACAGGGGAAAGATGGGCAACTCCTCGCATGCCATTTTCAGCCTTTGAAAGTCCCCTGGAGAGTAAGCTGTGAGTCAGTTCCAACTTCACAGTAGGGATGTGACCTACTGAGATGGTTAACACTCCCAGCAGCTAAGTGAAAGAAAGCGACTCACCCTACTCAGAAGAAAGAAAGATTAGCTGGTGATCTACTAAAAGACCAGCTTTGAAAACCCAACAGTGCCCTGTTCTACTCTGGCATACATAGGGGTTTCCATGAGATGACATCAACTCAATGCAGCTGGTTTTAATGTTGAATTTAAAGTAGTGAGCACATTCCACTTCTCTTATCTTGCTGCTTACGTAGAACGCTGCCTCTCAAGAGTGACGGCTGCAGAGTTTTTGAAGGAAAACAGATTTTTGTTACTACTGCTCTGAAGTACACCAAAGAATTTACAGGTTCCAGATAGTTAAATAAATCATCAGCCAATTCAGTTCCACAGTGATGAGGTTCCTGAAGAATTTTCTGATTTTCTTCTCCACCATGAGTTTAGTAAAGTACATAAGGCAGTGTGTTCCCCCTCTCAGTTTCTACAAGGAAGGATAGATAATACACCTGCAGGAACTCTTTCAGGATGAGTAGCTGATGGTACACCATTGTTTTCTTTTCTTGGTTTTCATCACCAGCCTCTGGAGCTTTCATGTGGAGCCTCTTTTAAAGCATTAGCTCTTTAAATGTTAATCATGGTCCCAGAAATTTAGAGAACACCTAACACAGATATTGACACAGTAAATGTATTGAACAGAAACATATCAAACAGGTGTGATTCTTTGTGGAAAAGTGGGAATACTAGGGCTCAACAAGTGAAGTAAGAACACACTAACTAGGAAAATCGTCTAGAACATGGAACATGATGTAGCTCTGCCATTTCAGCTTTTTGGGAGGAGTGTAAAACGATGCTGTAAACAGCTAAGAGGCTAGCCTTCAAAGTTCATTTTTTTAAAAAATGCACTTAGAACATTACTTTTATCAATGTTTATTGTCTAAATATGGCTTAGTTTGTTTTTATAAAAACATCACTTGGACATTACATTTACTGAATTTCAGTCAAAAAAAGAGGTTCTAAGGCAATCCTTATACAATTGAAAGCACAAAAGAAAAAGTACTACGAATATGCTTTCAGAATGCCTGCTTGTGAAAAATGAAATTCTACAAGAGAGCTGATCGATACATATTTTTGTCATGTCAAACATTTTCTCTTAATCCTAAAAAATATATAAATCATTTACATAAAACTAACTGCAAAGGAAGGCACAGCTGGTTATGGTGTGTCTAAGCACAGTTCAGCATATGCAGAAGTAAAGGGGAAAGAAGCTTCACATCCTTACTAGTTATTACACTGAAATCCGTTAAGAAAGGCTCTTCACTGTCAACAGTGTTCAACACTTATGAGCTAAGAGGATATTAAAAACAATTCATTTAATGCAAAACGGATTTTCATATATACTTGAATATAAAAAAATGTTTTAAAAAGGCTAACATAAATCTAGACTATCCATGTTATGAAAAGTGCAAACCGAATTAAAAGAGTTTCACAATGTCCTTCTCATGACACAGGTAAACTTAGTCCTTGGGGACAGATTTGTATCTTCCCGAAATGAGTCCTTAATTGCAGCCAGATGTCATCAGGATTTCTGGGAGTTGGAAGAAAGCAGTACTGGAGACGCAGCTCTGTCCAGACTGGGGATTGGCACTGGCATATGGCCGTTCAGCAGTGTTGGGAACTGTAGGGAATGAAAGAACATCATTATTGCCTCTCCACTGGGAGGAATTTGGTTCTTTGTAGCCCTAGACAGATCTAAGTGCATCAGTCTTTCCATCGCATGTGTGATGGAGGCCAGCTGTCATTTTACACAATGAGTCGCTTGGCAGTAGAAGACCAAGATTATATGGGGCAAGTAGAATATGACCTAGAAGATGCCCCTAATTGCTCTCTATGGATTGTTGTTGTGCGTCATGGAGTCGAAGCCAATCCATAACTGGTCCTCCAGTGGGTTTTCAGAGGCAGTAAATCGCACAGAAGATTGTCCATCTTTCTCTCACTGACAGGCTGGTGAATTTAAACTGCGTGCTTCTGAGCTGACAATTGCAACTCCTTAACACTAAGCCACCAGAATCCCTGTTCTATGGATAGGCTACTAGAAAGCAGATGTGTTTTATATATTACTAATGCATATTCCGAAATAGCTTGCCTCTGGAAACTATGAACTTGGAGAAATGATGAAAGAAACAAATGTTCAGATCTTTCGTTCATAGGGTCATTATGAGTCATCTATGACTTGACGGCACCTAACAACAATAACAACAACGAGAGAGTTCTTTTGGCCTAGTGGATAGAAAGTGATGCTACCAAGCCAAAGGTGGGTGATTTTAATCTGTGGAACTCATGCTTGGTCATGTTTCTGGTCAAACATTCTTCTAAATGGTACAGCACTGGTCTGTCCATTGGCTGTACAGAGGTAACTTGTGGTTGCTGTGATGCTAAACACTAACACTGATGTGTCAAATGCAATAATGGTTACCCATAATGGACAGTGTTTGGTGGAGTTTCCCTATTAAAACAGGCTTGGAAGCAGAAGTGGCATCCACTTCCGAACTAGCTTGCCTCCAGAAACTTGATGAACTTAAGGGAAACAATGAAAGTTATACAAGTGTTCAGGTCTTTTCGTTCATAGGGTCACTATGAGTTGTCTATGACTCAACTGCACTTAACAAAAACAGTGCATATTCTACACTATAAAAATGTTCCAAGACACTGAACACTTGATTTGCCTTAGATATTAAGACAAATAATCTTGAAAACGAGCTAATTTGGAAAGCTCCAGGAGCCCAGTGATAAGGAGTTGCACTGACATCCCAAAGATAGGCAGTGTGAACCCACCAGCTATTCTGTGGAAGAAAGGCAGTCTCCGACCACGTGACTCAGGGCTAGCTATGAGTCGTTTCCCACTTGAGAGCACATAGCTACAATAGCTGGTAATGAAAGGACCACTAGGTAGTCTGTAGGGGGTTGTGATGCTGAACCAAATGCCTGAGTCTCCAACAGTTTGGATCTACTAGCAGCTTAAAGAAAAAGATGGCCAATTTCCTGTTATGATTTATAGTCTAGGATACCCAGCAGAAGGTCACTATGAGTCAGAATTGACAATAACAGAAAACACGTTCATGTATAATTCTTCATATTGTCAGTGATTTTTAATACTCTGCACTGTGAAATTAGCTTTCAATTTTACAGAGCACCAAAGATGTTTCTATTAAAAGTGAAGACTTTTCATCTTTTTAAAGTTTACAGAGACTTAGGGTTTCCAGTCATTCATTGTTGCACTTTTCTCCTTGCCCACCCCTTTCCCCCAATTAACTCTTCTCCTTGAAAAGTAAAAACTTTTCATCTTGAAAGATTAAGGTGAAATAGTAGGAATGCATTTTGAAGCTGAGAAAGTGTTCTTTCTAATTAAAATGATAAGTAAGTAATATCAGACTTCTAGACCACTTATCAGTGTTGTTAGGTGCTGCTGACTCTAAATCAAAACTTAATAAAATGTCTGCATTTGTAATTAAGATGATTAGAAGATAAAAATATCTTAAGTTTCATTTCTGAGAACAAATACTACCTCTACTCCCAATTGAACAAGAGTTTAAGCTCCAGTTTTGTTTTCCTTAACTATTGTGCTCTGAGTGCAGGTTTACCAGGTAATTAGTTCTCCACTCAGTCATACAGATTTAGTCTTATGGATGGGTACAGTCCCCAGCATTTAACAACACTCGATCTACTATCTCTGTGTATGTCTCCTTTATATTTGTGCTTCTGTCCTCTCCCTTCCCTGCCTTCTGAGCCTTTTCTCTAGGCAAATAAAGTCTTTTTGATCTTGTATGATTAACTGATTTGAGTACTTATCCCAGTGTTATTGTTTACTCAGGTAAGCCCATTTTTTTGGCTGAAGATTGAATCACACAGGTGGATTCAGTTCCAGGATGAAAAAGTGAGACGAAGGGCTGTAATCTTAAAGGTTCCACCAGTCTCTGTTAGATCATGAAGCTTATTCACTAGTGTGACTTTGAGTTTTATATGTTCCACGTTTTTCTCACACTCTGTTCTGGATCCTCTGTTGGGATTCCTTTTAGAAAAGTCAGCAGTGATAGCCTGGCATCATCCAGTCCTTCTGGTCTCAGGGTGGTGGGCATTGAGGGCCATGGAGTCTGTTAGTCTTTAGACTAATTGCTTCTAATTACTCATCTTTGTGCGGGGCAAAGAAGGTACTGCCATTGGCTGCTATTAGACGACTACTAGCACTCTTTAAGGATCCCTGTTGTCGTTCATCATAGTAGAATGTAGAACATTGTTTTGTGGACTATATTATGCCAGTTGACCTTGATAGGTTTCAAGGGACCTGTGGCTAACAACTCATTCCCTCAGGATATTTTTTATGATTAAGAAGTTTATATACCTTGGCTGCCTGTTTGCTCTCCTATGTTATTGTTATTAAGTGCTATCGAGTTGAATATGACTCATAGAGACCTATAAATAATAAATCTGAACCCTGTCTTACCCTGAGCCAGTCTCACTGATTCCGACACACCTACCCCCATTACTCCAGTCACTGCATCAATTCAGCTCATCTTGAGTCTTCCTCTCCTGTGCTGTCCCTCCACTCTTCCAAGCATGATGTCCTTCTCTAAGGACTGACCCCTCCTGGCCACGAGCCCAAAGTATGTGATAGAGCTTCAAAATCCTTTCCTCTAAGGATAAACTTGCCTTCACCCTCTCCAAAACAGTCTTGTTTGTTCTCTTGGGAGGTCCATGATATATTCAGTACTCTTCTCCAGCACCACAACTCAAAGGCTATTATTTTTCTGTCATCCTTAGTCATTGTCCAGCTCTGCTGCATAGCAAATAATTGCAAAGACCATGGCCTAGATCATGTGCACCTTAGTCTGTAAACTGATGCACTTTGGAGAGGTCTCTGACATCAGACTTCCGCAATGCAATTTGTGTTTTGATTTCCTGACTGGTACCAAGAGTGTTGATTGTGGAGCTGAGCAAGCTGAAATTGTTAACAACCTCAGTCTCTTCTCCAGCTTTTGTGATGCTGCCAATTGGCGCAGTGGTGAGAATCTTTGTCTTGATGTTGAGATGCAATCTACATTGAAGACCACAGTCCCTGATCTACTGCAGCAAATGCTTCAGGTCTTCCTCAGTGCAGTGGTTCTGAGCTTGTCAGAGATGGTAAGGATGGTACAGGACAGGACAGGGTTCAGATCTGTTGTTCATTGGATCAGTGAGTAGTACTCAACTGTGTGGCACCTGACAACAACATTATTGTTTTCTTTAGAACCTTTGATCCAGCACCACAGATGGCCCCAGGCCATGCGACATGTCAGGCATTCAGGCAGGGCTGTACTCTTTATTCAGACATGTTCTGAATGGCTTCAGGAGAAATAGTTGGTCTGTTTGATGAAGTTAAAAGTAATATTCTGAGCAGGTGAGTAGGATTGTCTTCTTTGGTGGTCTACAGTGATTCTCAGCCTAAGGCTTCTGGGCCAGCAGAACTGGCAGCAACTGCAGCAGCATGAAGATGCTTGAAATAAATGCTATTGCTATCAAGCCCCCTTCCTAGACCTTCTGAATTTGCTGAATTAAAAGAAATGGTCCATTCTGAAACTCTAGCAGTGGAACCCAGCAATTTATTTTTAACAGTTACCCCACTGGGTGAGTCTGTTTACACCATAACTTTGAGCACTGCTGGTCTCTAGTAGATTCTGATTATGTTTGGAATCCCTGTGGACACGAACTGTTGTTATTCTGATACATTCCTCAACGCATACTCTAGGAGACCCAGTGAACCCCCCAATAAGCATTTCTCTGGTCTCAGCAAGTGCTTCACCAGCTGGATGGCAAAATTCCCAGAAAGGGAATAAATAAGAGGCAATCCATTATCTATCTGGCCTGAGCTCAACTGAAGGATTCGCACACCTTACCTCCGTGGAGTTTACTGTTGCCATAGAACTCACTCCTTTCTGACCCACTTCTTGTTGATAGCTTTCATTGAGTTCTTTATGACTCGTAGTGACCCCAGGTGTGCAGAGCAGAACCACTTCTCTGGGTATATGAGGCTGTGATCTTTCAGAAGCAGAGCACCAGGCCTTACTTCCAAGGCACTTCTGGGTGAGTTCAAACCACTAACCTTTCCATTCCTAGTCTAGCACTCAACTCTTTGTGTCACAAGGGGACTGGTATTAGTCTATGGCTGCTGCAGTCTTGAGATTTTCAGGACATGAGACCTTTTAGCTCTCCACCAAGATTAGTATTCCTAAACTAAAATTCCCCCAATACCACATTTTCTCACCACTCTTTTTGCTCACAGTTTCTCACGGGGTTTTTGCATCCTTGCCTGCGAGAAAATGGTTAAGAATCAACACGTTGGCCGCCCATGACCAGAGCTCAATTTCTTGTGACTGGAACATGGATGGGCCAGGGAAGAGACATAAACCTAATTACTTCAGGGATACAGTCACATCGTGACACCCTATCCCAACCTCCTTAGGAAACCAGAGAAGCAGATAGTAACCAAAACCTCTTTCCCCCTACTCTTCTTCCAAGGACACCCTACAGAGCAGAATGCCAAGCTCTGGTGTAGAGTTAGTCCTAAGCAGATACCTTGACAAGCAGAGTAACCAGCCTGGAAAAGCATGCAGAGTTGATCTTTTTAACACTTACCTTTCTAAAACATCTCTTTGGGAATTCTTCGGCATCATTTACTTTTTGCAGTCAACACTACTGAGTATCACTTAATGTGCCAAAAAACGTGAGACACTGGGGGACACACTACCAAATGTGGTGTGGTTCTGGTCTCTTAGAGTTCACTGTGTACTGGGGGCAGAGATTGCCAGGAATATATGCACAGCATCAAACGCTGCTAGCTGCATCAGGACAAAAGAATGTTACCTGGCTTGGGCTGAGCCACACCTTGGGGAGGGAGGTATTGGTGCGCAGGATGGAAGGGACAGATTAGAGTTAGCTGAAGGGGGACCAAATGGTGAAAGGCTGACTTTGCGCTTTATTCTGCTTCATTTGTGCCCCTAATGTTCTTTCCACCAACACTCAAGAAATGCAAACAGTAACATCTTGATTGCTGAGTGACAATCTTTGGGTTCCAAAGAGGAAATAATGATTTCAACAGGAGAGCAAGCGATGCTACTATGAGATTACAGTGTGTAAGCAAACAATGAATGTTCTCAGAAAGCACAGGGATCTCTCCAAGATAAAACAGTTATTGTCCTGGATGTTCAGGGTTTATTATGGAAGCAGGAGCATTTAAATATGATTATTCAGATAGCTTTTCTATCTCCCCTAGCTGTTTGGGTGGGGTTTTTTTCCCCTTCAAGTTTATTTCAAGTGACATTAGTGTTTTAAGGTCTTTTCTAAAAAAAAAAATTATTTACAGAAATAATTTGTAGCATTTTCCCTATTTCTCAATACATGTCTCAACAGATACTGTGGTGTTTTGGTCACTGTTATACATCACTTAACATCTGCTGATTTGACTTTCCACAGGTGTCCAACTGATTAGTAGGACTTACTGGGCCGCCCTAGACTCATGATAGTCTCATCACTATCAACCCCTCTTCCCTCCTCTCCTGTTCCGTGAACTACTAATCAATACATTTAGAGTTTTCATAGTCAGCAAAAGTATCCCAGGACCATCAAGAATTAGCCATTTAGCGGATGTTAAGGCCTCTCTGAAAATTTCTGCCATCAAATCCCACTAAAGTAAACTTCCTTTGGAAACTTAACCAAACAAAGCTTGCAAGATTTATGGGGGCAGGGGGAGGACAGAAGCTCTGTACTAGAAGAGGTGGTATCCCATTGCTCACCTGGAACAGCGTGTTTGGCCCTTGCAGCCTGGCAGGACTCAGCGGGGCAACTGGACTAAGGCTGCTCCAGAAATGTATGCTGGACAGCAGTGGACTTGGGGTCAAAAGCAGTCCGTTTGGTGTCTAGGAAGAAAGCAGACAGACAATACTTGATGTGAGTATCGTTTGACTCCTGCTATTACCACCACAGCATAGTGGCCAGATGTTCCAGGGATGGGCCAAGAAAACCAGCCTTGCTCTTTAAGGGCTAACTTTATTTCTACAAGCCTGGACTTGGCCAGTTTTGCTTTTCTTAAATGCCAATTCTGTTAGCAGTTTTATAAAAAGTAGCTAAGTGTTAAACAGTTACCACAGACATGCTAACTGTCCATTCTAGAGGAAAACCCAAGGTTGGAGTAACTTTTGCTGAGATGGTTTCTTCAGCCTGCTCTTCCTCCAGGTTAAAAAGGCCTAAGCAAACTGGATCCCATTAGTGGCTTTACTTTTTCTTATCTATATTTTGTTTATTTTTCAATAATTTCTACATGTATAATTCAGTTGATGCTACATGCCTTTGGGTTCTTTGATTTAACTGTTTTCCACCTTCTTTTGGCATTTTACTTCCTCCATTAAAGTAAATTCACTTCCCCTTAAGGTTCCATGCTAAGCTTTTGGGTTGTTGATTTCATGTAAGTCATTCTTAGACGAGCATAAAGTTCAAAGCAGACTTTTTTTTAACTAGTTAAACTATTGTTGTATTTTAAGAACCTTCCAAAATAAAAAGAACCTTCAGAGGATCTATTTTTGGTTGAAGGCTTAAAGCTTATAAAGGCAATTGATGTCTGGTGTCCTTGTGAAATTTTATTCCACCTAGTCCTCGTTTTGATCAGGATTGTTCTGTGGAATCTTTTCTCAAAATGTCCAGGAAGTGTTGCTGGGCACCATTCAGTTCTGCTGGTTTCAAGCAAAGGAGGACGTTTGCCACATATTCCACGTCTTCCTCCCATTCCTTTACGGCTTATGTGGTTCAGGTGAATTGAGATCAGGTGTATCTTGTATGGCTTCCTGCAAGTCTTACTCCTAACACTACACATTGAATTAGGCGGTACAGCAGATCACTAAACATCTTACTGGGTCAAGTAACTGACAATGTTTCATGCAGCCATGACCCTAAATGGCCAACCCAGGAAACCAAAACCACGTTTTGGACATAAGCAGTCTCAACAGATACTGTGGTGTTTTGGTCACTGTTATACATCACTTAACATCTGCTGATTTGACTTTCCACAGGTGTCCAACTGATTAGTAGGACTTACTGGGCCGCCCTAGACTCATGATAGTCTCATCACTATCAACCCCTCTTCCCTCCTCTCCTGTTCCATGAACTACTAATCAGCTTTGTTCTCCATATATTTGCCCTTTCTTGCCCTTTTATATGAAATCAGACTTATTACTGTCAAGTCAGAACCAGCTCATAACTGACCCTCCACTGAGTTTTCGGTGGATGTAAATTGCATGGGAGGAGACTGCTCACCTTTCTCTTTCGGAGCTGTGGGTGGATTTGAACCAGCAGAGGGGTGTGGCCTTTGGGTTAGCATTGCAGCTTCCTACAGAGGTAAGCCCTATATGTGAGGGCATATAATATTCGTCCTTACGGGATTGATATCTCACTCAGCATTACAACTTCCAGCTCCATCCATAACATGTCAAAACTTCATTTCTGCTACTGTCTGAGTAGTAGTCCATTTTATGCATTATGCCACATCTGTTCATCTATTGATGGACATTTATGGTGTTCCTACCTTTTAGCTCTTGTGAATTTGGTGTACAAGTCTCTGTTTGGGTCTCTGCTTTCAAGTGTTTGGAGAATGTACAGGCCTAGGGGTAAGAAGCTGCTCTGCAGTACCAAAAGCACGTGGTTCAAATCCATCAACTGCCTTGCTGGAGATGAATGGGCAGTCAGTCTGCTCCTGTGTGAATTACTGCCTCTGAAAACCTGCTCGAGGGTTAGCTATGGTTTGGTTCTGACTCAACAGCATACAGCAACACCACTACAACATACCTAGAAGTAGAGTTGCTGAGTCCCAAAGTAATTTTATTTTTAGGTTTGTTTTCTAAAGGAACTGCTATACTATTTTCATACCATTTGCATTCCCACCAGTAATGAGTAAAGGTCTCAATTTCCCCATATTCTCACCAAGATTTCTTTCTTTTAATTTAGTGGAAGGAAATGGTTTCTCACTGTGGTTTTGATATCTATCTTTCTGATATTTAATACCACTGAGCATCTTTTCAAGTGTTCGACAGCAATTTGAATTTATCATTATTTCCTACAACAAACATTTATTACTTCTCTCCTCTCTCTGTCTCTCTCTGTCTCTCTCTCTCTCACACACACACACACACACACACTCTGACATCCCCCCCCAGAGGCCTCCTATGCTTTCCTTCCTTCTCAATGGCCCTTTAATACTTTGAGATCCGATATTCAATTACCCTGCAACAGCTTTTTCAGAAGCCCTGAGCTGGCTTTCCAGACTTCACTCTGGAAGTGGGGTTGAAGAGAAGTCATCTCCCTGGCAATGGTTTTTATTAAAAAAAAATTAAAAATATCCTTTCTTGTCAGATTGGGTGTAAAGCCAAAACTGGCATTCCCACGAGGGTGCCAAGGATGCCAAGGATTGCGTTTGCTTGCACACACACAAACAGCAGGAGTCCTGGCCTGTGAGGCAGCCAGAGAGCACAAGCAACCTCCTGCCCCAGCTGGCAAACCTGCTCGGCTTTATTCTCTGAGGAGGCAGCTCCCTGGCCTTGGGCGGTTTTGCACCTCTGGTGACTTGGGGAGATGCCCCTCAGTGGTTTGGGGATGTCAATAAGGTGCTTTGTAAAACAAGAGCCGCAGCAAAAGCAGCAGTATCTCAGATTGCATCAAGCTGGATGCTAAAATGTTATTCCCCCCTTTGCGGCTCCATTAATTATCAAGAGCATTTGGCTTAAATCTCCATGGAAAAGTCTGTTCTGTTCAGCAGAATTCAGACAAACTTCCAAAGGTTCTCAAACTGCCGAGCTGCTGAAAAGTACACTGATTTATGCTCTGTTATTTAAGCCTCTGGTTCCACGGCATTTCCGACATCTTGAATGACCCACGGGGTTGCTAGGATAAATACATGTTTTGAATAAGCTAGTCCAAGACAATTTCTCAAGTGTATGAGGCCATTTGGTTTAACAGTTAGGGACTAACGGTTCAGCATGGGCCCTGCCAGGCTTCTAATCGCAGACCCACTGCTTCTTACCTATTTAATTTTGGGCAAATTATCTTACTACGGCATGCCTATGACATTATGCTCTCCCCTTCCTAGTTTGTAAAATAAGGAGAATGAAAATGCCTGTGTTACAGGGTTGTCAAGATGTTAAAGCTTTTAAATATGTGTTTGGTCAACAACAAATGTTCAACAAATGTCAATATTGTTAATGTTCTAATGAACAATGTTTAATGGATTGATGAATTAGTAAATTACAGGTACTCCCTGATATATATGGCATTTTGAGTCATGACAGATTGCACTTAAAACCAGTCTTTTTTATTTGTTTTTATTTACATCATATCTTTAGGAAACCCTTCTGTGACAGATCATAACCTAATGGTTGGTTGGCAGTTCAAGTCATCAGCTACTCTGTGGGAGAAATATAGTCTTCTCTTGTAAACACAGACAGCTTTGCAAACCCAACAAAGGCTTATTAAGAGTTAGAGTCAGCCGGGTTGCAGGGAGGTGGTTTGGTGTGGGGAGAGTACGTGTAAGTATTATGTATAGTCTTACTGTTGCATCATGTAATGTGCTGATGTCGTCATATCTGAAAATCTGTATGTAATGTTTGCAACCCTTGAAGACAAAGATTGGATTTCTAAAGATACTGGTAATAAAAGGCAATAATAATAAGGGGACAGTGGAAGCCTTTGGTGTATGTGAGTGAACTTGGAATCTTGGATGGAGTCATGACCACGGAAGCCTCGAAATCAGGGAATCCCCATACCTGAAAGTGTACTTGCCCTTAACAGCCTCAGTGGCACAATGGCTAAACATTTGACTGCTAACTGAAAAGGTTGACAGTTTGAAATCCCGAGCTGCTCATTCTGTGGGTAGTAAGACCTGTGGGTGATCTGCTCTAGCACAGATTCTCCTCTCTCACTGCTGTTGAACTGACCCTCCATTGGGACTCCCCAAAGGCTGTAAATCACACAAGAAGAGACTGCCCATTTTTCTCTCAGGGACGCTGGTGGATTTGAACTGCCAGAGAGGCGTGCATGGCCTTTGGGTCAGCAGCACAACTCTCTACCATCAGAGAGCTCCTACTAGGACAAATTATAACCTAGAAAGCCCTGTGGGACAGTTTTCCACTGCCCTACAGGGATGGCGTTCGGATAGTGGTAAGGAATTGTGCCACCAACCCGAAGACAGGAGTCTCCGGTGGCCTGGTGAAAAGATACCAGAGGCACACAGTTCAAATCCACCAGCTGCTCTGCAGGAGAAGGATGGGCTGTCTCCTCTCATGTGATTAAATTGCCTCTGAAAACCTGCCGGGGAGGGTCAGCTATGGGTTGTTTCTGACTGAACGGCACACAGTAACAACAACAACAACATAGGGAGGATGCTCTGATGGCCTAGAGGGTAAGGAGTTGTGCTGCCAACCTGAAGGCAGGTGGTTTGAATCTGCTCAGTAAGATAAAAACTTTGTGATTTACAGACTCAAGAGCCCCCCCCCGCCCACCCCCCCGCCGGAGGGTCAGCGTCAGGTGGTTCCTACTCACTGGCACCTGGTGAAACAGGGATGGCACAGGATTGGGCAGGGTTTTGTTCTGTTGAACATAATGTCGCTATGAATCTAAGCCACCTCCATAGCGCTGAACAGCAGGAGCTCAGGGTTGCTGGGAATCAGAGGAATCAACAGCACACAACAACAACAATCTGCTATGCTTGTTGTTGTTATGTGCCATCGAGTCGCTTGCGACTCATAGCAACCCTATGTATAAGAGCTCTAAATGCTGTTCTATCCTGTGCCAACCTAGCCATCTCAAACACACTTATTCCCACCGCTGCTGCGCTTACTAAATGTAATTCCTCGATCAGGATAAATTCTCAACTGTG